CCCCAGCGAATCGGGAGGAGGGGAGCAGTTTCGGCGGAAGAGAAAGTGAAAGTAGCAGCCCCGGAAGTGGGGGCGGGAGATTGTCACAGGATCCGGGACACCCTATCCCCTCCCATCCCTGGTGCCTGGCCACCCTAGACAGTTGCTGGCACTCGCTTCCCTGCTCCAGTCCACTGCGGCCCCGGGCGCTCAACCTGTCCGCCCGAGGCAGCCTCACTCTACCCCCAATTGACTCCCAACTCTGCGACCCCCACTCTCCTGCGGGCCCGCCCCTCTGCCCGGTATGCAGGGCTGGAGAGGGGCCGGGGCGGGGCAGCAGACGGCCCGGATTGGACGAGCGGGCGGAGCTGCCAGCACGAGGGTGCGCAGACCCGCTGCTTAACAAGGTCTGCGGAAGAAGAAACGGATACTTCGTTTAAGAACTGCGCCAGACCACGGAGTCGGGTTGGAACTCAGACCCGGCAGGCTCCAGAAGCCACCCTCAGCCAGCCAGATTCTGCCTCCCCTCGGCGATCACTCTCCACCTGTTTATTGGGCCGATAATGAAGTTTGGTTTGCCTGCCGCGCGCCGGAGGCTGTTGGCCTCGTCCAGACAACTGTCCCTTATTTTTCTCCCACTCCTCATCCCATAGATCATCAGGTCCTGTGGCGTCCCCCTTCAGAATAGATCCAGAATCTGTCACCTCTCACCGCCTCACTCCCCATCTCGCGGTTCATCATTTCTCCTCGGGTGTTTTACAACCTCCTCATTGGGCTCCTTGCTTCTCCTTGTGGCCCCTATGGTCCCATTTTCCACTCAGCTGCCAGAGGGTCCTGCTAGAATGTAGATCAAACTGTCACTCCTCAAAACCCTCCTCATAGTTTCCATCTCACTCAAAAGTTTGGTAAAAGCTTGTAATCCGCCTCCTCTCTTTCTCTGACTGCTATGCCCTGGCGCACTCCATTCAACGCCCCGTGGCCTGAGTCCTAGAACGAGGCAGACTATACACCCACCTCAGGGCCTTTGCATTTGCCATAATCCACATATCTTCCTGGCTTGCTCTCTCCCTTTATTTTGGTTTTTATCCAAACGTTTTCCCTGCACTCTCTATCTGAAATTTCACAGTCCCCCCTTCCTGGCTTCATTTCCCTCCAAATCATGAATTACTATCTAGCAGCAAATTTTACTTACTTATCTTGTTTTTGGTCTGTTTCCCTCTTCTGGAGGGCAGGGGCTTTTGTCTGTTTTGTTCACTGCTGTGTTCCCAATGTTTACAGATTCTATGTTAATTGAAAGAATGAATCTCAGACTTTCATCTGGTATCACTTTCCTTTTGCCTGAAACACACCCCTTAAAAGAGGTTCTCAACCTGGGCTGTACTTTTGATTTCCCTGAGGGAGCTTTTAAAAACCTTAAAGCCTAAGCCACATCTCAGATCAACTGATTCAGAATCCCTGGGGATGAGCATTTCTACTGGGTATAGAATTCTAGCTGGCATTCCAGCACCGTGAAGAGGGCAGTATTCCATTCATTGTCCTTTAGCTTCCATGGTTGCCATGGAGACATCCTCACCTGCCAGCGTGACTGCTGTTCTTTTTAAAAACAGCTTTATTGCAATATAATTTAACTATAAGATCCACCTATCTAAAGTGTTTATTTTTTAAAGCATTTTACTTCTTTAAGTTTTGTGTATTTATTTTCAGAGAGAGGGGAAGGGAGGGAGAAAGAGGGAGAGAACCATCAGTGTGTAGTTGCCTCTTGCAGGCCCCCAACTGGGGATCTAGCCAGCAACCCAGGCACCTGCCCTGACTGGGAATCAAACTGGCGACCCTCCGGATCACAGACGGGTGCTCAATCCACTGAGCCACAGCAGCCAGGGCTAGTGGTTTTACATTTCGAGGCTGTGCAACCATCACCACAAGCCAATTTTAGAACATTTTTATCACCTCCAAAAAAAACAACCACAAACCTGTGCCCATTAGCAGACACTTCCTGTCTCCCACTCTCTAGCCTTCGGCATGGATCCACTTTTTGTCTCTACAGATTTTCCTATTCTGGACATTTTGTATCAATTAAATCTTATAATACATGGTTCTTTGTGATTGCCTTCTTTCACATAGCATAATGTTTGTGAGGTTCATCCATGTCGTATTACTGTTCTTTTGAAAGTAATCTCTCTGCTTTTTCCATTGAATGCTTTTAAGACTTTATCTTTGTTTCTGCTTTTTTGCATTTTCACTATGATGTGTCTACGTGTGAATATTTACGGAGTCTCTGGAATCTGTGATTGATGTCTCAGTAATGTCCTCTTTAGCCACATCTAATCTCCTGTTTAACTCATCTTCTGGATTTTTAACTTTGATTAATATATTTTTTATTTTAGAAGTTCAGTTAGGTTTTCAAGTCTGTTAGTTCACTTGATATATGTAATTTCTGTACTTTGGCCATAGTTTCAATTTTTTTTAAGATTTCATTTATTTATTTATAGAGAGGGGAAGGGAAGGAGAAAGAGAGGGAGAGAAACATCAGTGTGTGGCTGCCTCTCACGCGGCTCCCACTGGGGACTGGCCTGCAACCCAGGCATGTGCCCTGACTGGGAATTGAACCAGCGACCCTTTGGTTCACAGGCCACGCTCAGCCCACTGACCCACACCAGCCAGAGCTCAAGCTTGTTCTTCATGGAAGCCCTATTAGTAAACATCTCTATTTTGTCATCTGTGTCTGATACCACTCTCCGAACTCTGCATGTCCGTGTCTGCCAGTTCTCACGCCTGTTGCCTTGTTTCGCCTGCTGATTCTGCTGGCTTGTCGTGGTCTCGTTCCCTTCAGCCCTGAGGTCACCTGCACAAATTTGTATTCGGAACAGATAACGTACTTGCCGGTGCTCTGGTCTTCACCTTGGATCTTCAAGGGTGGGGCTGGTAGCCGCTTTGGACATCCTTGTGGGCAAGGATGGGCCAACTCCAGGCATTCAAACCTGGGTTTGCCCTACAGTGTACTCTGTGCGACCCTGGACAAGACACCCGCCCTCTCTGGGCCTCAGTTCTTCCCTTCGTACAATGGCGACTATCACAGTCCCTCCCTCATGGGGTTGCTGCGAGACTCTGCATCAGTTACTCGTTACTGATAAGTAACAAATTACCCCAAAACTGAGTAGCTTAAAACAACATTTTCTAGGGGTTAAGAGTTCGGGAATAGTTATGTCATTTGACTAAAAAAGTCTCTCATGATGGTGTAGTTAAGATTTTCACTGGGGCTTCAGTCAAAGGCTTGATGGACCTGGAGGAGAGACTTTCAAGAAAGCCCACTCAGCCCTGGCTGGTGCAGCTCAGTGGACTGAGCGCAGGCCTGTGAACTACGGGATCGAGGTTCGATTCCCAGTCAGGGCACATGCCTGGTTGCAAGCCAGTTCCTGGCAGGGGACACACGAGAGGCAACCATACATTGATACTGGTATTTCTCTCCCTCTCTCCTTCCCTTCCCCTCTAAAGATAAATAGATAATATTAAAAAAAAAAAAAAAGGAAAACCCATTCATATGACTGGTTGGTGCTGGGGATCGCAGGGCACCTGAGTCTCTGACCACGTGGACCTCTCCACAGGATTCCGTGGGTGTCCCATTTCCGTGGGTGTCCCAGCCACTTGGCAGCTGGCTTTCCCCAGAAAAGCTGATGCGGCAGAACAAGGCAGGAGCCACAGTATATTTTACGGCCTAGCACATTTGCAGCCGTCTATTAGTTGCACCACTCAGCCCCGCTCCGGATGGGAGAGAACTAACAGGGGCACGGATACCAGGGGTCAGGGAGCCCTGGCGCTATCAGGTACCAAATGAGATAACGCATGCAAAGCACTGGACACCCTGCGAGGTGTGGGTGTGTGCTCACAGTAAACAGGAACCACCCCTAATAAGCATCCTGGCTTTGCCCAGGGCAGGTAGGATCTAGAGAGCAACAGCTTTCATTCAGTCATTCAACAAACACCAAGCAGCTCTGTGTGCCAGACACAATTCTAGGAGCTGGGGACACGATGGTAAACAAAACATAGTATGAAACTACCACAGACAAACAGATCTAGAATGTTCTGCCAGGTGGTGCTAAGTGCTCTGAAGAACCACAAAGCAGGGAAGTAGGGAGAGAATGATAAGGAGATTCAGGCTGCATGTCTTTCCCCATAAAGCTGGCACAGTGGCGGTGGCTCAGACAGTGACCCCTGGTAAAGCCCTCCCACACCTGTGGGCCGAACCTAGCCTCACAGGTGGTACAGTTTATGCCCACTTTATACCTGGGTTGGGGTCAAAGGGGCTGAGGGGCCAAAATGAGCTGAGTCCCCAAGGAATCAGGATTTCTCCTGATAGAGGTTCTCCAAACAGGATGCCCAGCAGCATGGCTAGGAAGCTCGTTAGCAAGCAGAGCCCTGGACACCCGAGTCACTAGGTCTGGGCAGAGCCCAAGGATCTGCATTTTTAAGCTGGCACCCCAGGGGGCTGATGCAGGGCTGCAGGGTGAGGGCTTCAAGGTGCAGGGACCTTCTCTGACAAGTGTCAGAAGAGGTTTCCAGGTCCAGCCTCAAGGGACAGGCAGGGCTTAGCTGCACAGAGAGGAAGCGGACAGAAAGAAGCCCAGAAATACCAAGCAGCTGGACTCGAATGTGTTGACTTCTCAGGCACCGCAGTGCCACCTCCCTTGTTCCTCAGGTCACAGATGTCTCTAAGACGATGCACACCAGGGACAACAGAGTGGAGACAGACAAGGCTGGGGAGCAGGGTCCTGCTGACAGCTCTGAGAGCTGAACCAGCCCGCCCTGAAGCCCACCCCACCTGCTGAATTGTGCTTCGTGTGAAACAGGTCTCTTTTTTTTTAAGCTATTTTGACTCAGGGTTTCAGTTACTTGCAGCCAGAAGTTACCCCAGTTGAGACATCGTTGCCTCCAGAAGAAAGAGAGGGAGCGCAGAGGACTCGCTGTGGGCCAGCCTGGGACAACCGACAAGACAGGATAGGAAAAACACCTGGGCGAAATACAAGTATTTCGTAACTCCTTTATTAGGCACAAAGTAAAAATATATCCTCATGGTATACAAAACCTATAGTACTAATGTGGGGTCCTGGACCCCAAGTGTCCCCAGAACTGGGTTTAGCACTTTCCAGAGGGCTAGGAGGCAGACGCCACCTAAACCTGTCCCCCTGCTCAGGTCAGGGGCTGCTGCAGCAGACAGGCCTGGACCCTCGTTCCAAACCACTCCTCGAGTCAGATGAGGACCCGCCTCACAATCCGCACTCTCGATCTTCCAGCCCAAATCCTTGGCTCAGGCCTGGACAGAGGCTCCTGTGACCAGCTGCTGGCACAGAATTCCTAGCATGGCCGGGGCTCCGGAGCTCTAAGTCACAAGGGGGAGGCCTGGAGCCTTTGGCACACAATGCTTCCCTTCCTCTGAAAGGTACAAGGCACAAAGGCAGCTGAGTTGTTTGTGAGAAGACCTGTCTCGTGACAGAGGCGCCGGTGCCAGCACGAATGGGTGTCGTCACCTGCACTAAGTGTTCCCAGTCAACACAAGACAATGGCCTGTGGGTATGGAAAAGTACTGTCAGCTCCATGAGCGGGGGTTTGTCTCTGGTCACAGCTGTGTTCTCCAGCACCTACAACAGCGCTCCCAAGACAGACCTGTCAAGTGCATGAGCCCGTGTGCACAGGTGTGTAAACCGCATGTGTGTGCATACAGCACATTCCACACACACCTCTTTTCTCCCTCTTAGAAGGCACTTTGGTTGTGTCTCAGTTCGAAGAGGTAGGAGAGAGCTTGGGGACGCCCCGAACTCAGCCCACAGCTGAGAGGCCGGCAGGGTGGCCCTAGCCATACAGGCCCACTTCCCTTTCTCCCTCCTCCTCCTCCCCTTCCTCCAGCCCTCGCCCTTCAGGGACCACCTGGTCAGCCTCCCAGCGGTGGGCTTGGCTCGGGACTGAGGGGGTTGGGTTCTCTTGCAGCCAGGGGTGCAGCAGGATGCCCCAGGCTGTGAGCCTCTCAGCTGGCTCCCGTCGAAGGAGGCAGTGGACCAGGCAGCGGGCCCGGGCCGAGAGGCCCTGAGGCAGGGCGTAGGTCCCCCGACGGATCTTGCTGAAGAGCAGCACAGGCTCTGAGTCCTGGAAGGGGTAGTGGCCAGCCAGCATGGTGAAGAGCGCCACGCCCAGGCTCCAGACATCCGCCGCCTTGCCTGAGTACGATGCCCGCGAGCTGAGGATCTCGGGACCCACGTAGGCCGGGCATGCCTGCTTGTCCCACAGGGAGTCGTCTGGCCCGGTCAGCACACAGGCGTCCTCCAGGTTCTCCAGCACAAGCTTCGTCCTGCAGCAGGGAGAGAGACAGAGGGCTCAGGTCCTGCTGGAACTGCCAAGCCGCCACCTCACACTAGCACCGGAAAGTTACCCGTTTCCCGAGTGCCGCTGCCATCTGGCAGAACTGAGCCAGTCCTGTGTGGCTGGATGACTGAGCCCATTTCACAGATAAGAGAGACAAGGCTCAGAGAGGTTAAGCCACTGCTCAAGGTCACAGAGCAATTAAATTTGAACTAGGACTTTGAAAGGAACACATTTCCCAACAGTCCCTGGGGCGGGAGGGCGCTGAGGGCGTTAAACCTCTAGTAAAACAGATGCGAACTTAGGGTCCGGGCAGGTAATAAAATGAGAGAAGTAGAAAGTGGAGCTGGGCCAAGCATCTCAGCACAAACCCTGCCTGAAAAGGGGGACATCACCAGCATCACAGTCAGCATTTACAAACTGTCCAGCCCTGGGCTTGCTGCCTAGCACATCCCTTCATCCTCGTACAACCTGCGAGAAAGACACGCTTGTACCTCCACAGGGCACGGGGCCGGGATGGGGACGTCGGCTCCCGCCCGCCACAGCCAGCGCTAGGAACGGCTCACGTAGCTCCTAGGGGACCCCATGTTCCCGTTTTTCTCCAAGGAAAGCCAGAAATCATATTCGAACAAAAGAGTTCCCGTTTTGGAAACACTGGCAAACTACTTCAACTGAAAACAAATAAACAAGTATCTGGGGCCAAAATAAAAGTGTGTAGCGCGCCGTTTGCAGCCTCTGCTTTGAACACCTCCCACATAGCATCTCGATTGCTTTATTAATAACCATTCTCCTCCCACTGCTATTCACTTTATTCCTATGGCACCGCTTCCTTAGTGCTTGCTGGCATCTCACAAATGGTGAGCAAGGCTGTGAATTACAGCGAGGGAGGGGGGCAGTGGGGGTCAGTGTCGGCACTGCTGCCCATTTCACAGATGCGGAAAGCCAGGTTTGGGCAGGGGAAGCCGCTGCTCAGGGCCAAAGAACAGGCTAAACAGCATAATCAGGGTTTGAACCCAGGTCTGTCCGACCCCGCCGCCCGTCTTCTACCAACAAAGCCTCCCAAACTATTGCCTTGGGAAGAGAAAGCAGCACTTTCTCCCAGCTGGGAGGGCTGGGGGTGTCCTGCTCCCCCAGGGCTCAATGTGATTGGAAGTTGTGCATTGGACTAAAAATCATGATAAATTTTACATTCCACATCTTACTTAGAGTATAAAATGTAGAAGGAAAGAAGGAAATAGAAAAGCACCCTTAGACAAACGTCGTCGATGTGATAACCGCTGTGGGGCAGACAGGTGGCTACAAAGACCAGCCGGCGGGAGGTGGAGGAGAAACAGTATATTCACACGCAGCCTCCAAACACCTCGAGGTACTTGTTAATGACCAGGTAGTACCCGAGGCATTTATTCACGACAAAGGCTAAGTTGGGAACCTTACAGTGGAGGCGCTGGGCAGACGGCACCGTGACCAGTGATTGAGGCTGACATCACAGTAATACCTGTCACCACCGTGAACTTCCCGATACCAGGCACCACGAAGGGCCAGCATCACTTAGGGGACATCCTTGCCAAAAATGTAGAGCCTCAGCTTAACATAAGACAGCCACCAGTCGAATCCTAACTGGGGGACACTGGATGAAATAACTGACTGGTGCTCTTCAAACACGTCAAGGTCAAGGCAGACAGGAAAAGTCTGCGGACCCGCATCAGACTAGAGGACACTAAGGAGATGTGACCAGTGGATGCAGGGTGGGGACCTGGATGGATCCCGCACAGAAAAAGGACCTAGTAGGAAGCTGGTGAGATCTGAACCCATCGGTGCTTTAGCGAACAGCACAAGGCCAAGGTTAGCGTCCTGGTCGTGTTGGTTGTGCTGTGGTGGTGCAAGGCATTAACCTTAGTGGGAGCTGGGTGAAGGAAATACGGGAACTCTTTGGACAGTTTTTTGCAACTTTTCTGTAAGTCTAAAAGTATTTGCAAATAAAACGTTTTTTAAAAGTTCAATGGAGTCACCCCACCCCCACCCGGCTCAGAAAAAAATCTTGACATGAAATCAGCATTCTTTATGCATGTCTGTGTGGGCCATCCTGCCTAGTCCCGCAGCCTGGGTGGGGACAGGATGCCAGGCCCCTTTCTGTCCCCCACTCCAAAAGTCACTGATTTTTAGTTTTACAGGAAAAGGTTCCTGTGTGGGAAACTCAAGGCACATTTTTGGCTGTTGCCTGTGACCTTGAAATCCTGGAAACATCTCGACAATCCAGACCTTTCTCCTACCCATAGGGAGCCTGAGGTCTACAGACCCTGGGTCACCCAGTCGCAGGCACCCCAGCCAGGCCTCTCCCCTCTCAAGCTCAGAGGGCAATGGGGCCCTGGCTCTGGAGTCGGTCTGGGTTCAGACCCCAGGTCTACTATTTATGTAGCTGCGGGACCCTGGGCATTACTGACCTCTCTGAGTCTGGGTTTCCACGCCTGCCATATCGACCTCATTTTGTAAGGACGCAGGCCAAGCCAGATGGTGCCCCTGTGCCCTTCATCATTGTCGCTGCCTTCAGAAAGGCAAGGGTCCACCCCAAGGGGCTTCCAACAGGACGGAGTCGACTTTTCCCTGGGACCCGGGCAGTGCTATACTGGCCCAGGCTTCCCCACTTTTTGTGAGGGCTACTTTGCCTTCTGAGCCTCAGTTTCCCCATCACGACCCATCTCCTAGGTGTGTCTGTGGGTGGGTTCTCTGTCCCCACGCTCACCTCTCACGGTCAGTGAAGACAAAGCGACGCAGCTTGAGGTCTCGCAGGACTAGACCGTGCTGGTGACAGTGGGCCACGGCTGCGGCCATCTGGCGGAAGAGGCCAGCGGCCTGGGCCTCGGGCAGGCGGCCGCGGCGCACCAGGCTGTGCAGGTCCCCATGGCGCCGCGGGAAAAAGGTGTAAAGGTGGTGTGCGTCCGCCAGCACCTCCGCCGGCTGCGCCACGTGCCTGTGCGGGGGCAGCCGCGAGTAGGGCTCCAGCACCACCAGGGCTTCGCCGACCGGGTACACCTGTGAGTGGAGCATGGTCGTGAGCACAGGTCGGGATTGCGTGGACCCCAGGCTGGCCCGGGAAGCAGTCCCAGCCAACCCTTTAGACACCACTGGGCGCTAGACCCTCTGCATGCGCTTCAGCTGCCAGCTGCTCAACCCTGACAAAGCTGGGAGGGCTCACAGCCACCAAGTACCCTTCACTGCTGCCTTCCAGGGCCTTACACTTAAGGTAGTTGAAAAACAACAGGGAACCCAAACAAAAATAACCCTGCAAGCAGGGAAATCCAAAAGAATAAATGATAGAGAAGTAACTTTATGCTCATCATCACCATCACCATCCCCATCCTAGCTTCCATTCTCTAGAATTCATGCCCGCCCACTCTTCATTCATTCCTACCTGCAAAGGCCACTGGCTGCTAAGTTGACCTAAATATGTATGTACACTAAACAATCAACACAATTCTGGTGAGCATTGCAAAGGAACTGAGAAGGAGGCTGGAGTACAGAGTATTTTGGACGGGGGCACCAAATTTTCGAGCCTGTGGTTCCAAAGGGACTCTGGGGAAGTGACCTGAATGATTTAGGAACACTCGTGGGCTATGCTTTCCAGGTGGGGGCCTGGGGCAAGAAAGAGCTTGGTCAGCTCTGGAGACACATCCAAAGATCAGCAGGCCAAGGTGGGGTGGGGGAGGGAAGAGAGGCAGGAGGTGAGGTGGCTCATCTCGGAACCGAGCTGGGGCCGTAGGACCTCAGATGGGAGCCTCAGGTGTTCAGAGGTGGAAGGTGGAAGCCATATGGTAGTCAGCGGCTAAGCTGGCATAAACCCTTCGCGTGCCGTTTTAGCTGTGCTACACAGAAGATACAAATAAATACAGCATACGCATATTTGATCCACTAGGAAAAACTGTCAGCACGTCTTTAAAAAAAAAAAGGTGAGTGGCATGGAAGAAATAATCCCAAAACAGAGACTTTTCTGAAAGTTCGGGTAAGCACATCGGTCCCTCTGCACATTTGCACATGCCTTTCCTGCTTCCCTAAGATAACCAGCCACAGGGCCGGCTCCCCCAGTTCACACAAGTCACTGCTCAAATGTCACCTCCTCGAAGAGGTCTTCCCGGACCTCGCCACCTAAAATCACCCGAGCCCCCTACCCTCCCTGTTCTCCTCTCTCCCAGCCTTCTCTCCACAGCCCTTCCGATCACCTGACATAAGTGTTACTCATTCGCTTGTCTATTGTCCACGTCCCTCATTAGAGCGTCAGCTTGATGAAAGCAGAGCTTTGTCTATTTTGGAACCACAGCATGGTGCTTGCTGGTGCTCCCCGGTCTGTACAATTAATGAATTGGGTGATAATCTACAAAGACAGTTTATCTTTCTACACACTGACCAGAAAACCCTAGAGACGTGGAAATGGCAGGTCAGCCCCCGTGGTTCATGCTGGTGTAGGGCCAGGCACATCCCAGGAGACTCCCCTAAATGTTTCTAAGTAACTGGGGCCGTGTGAACGCACGCGGCTTCCGGCTCCAGCTCGCTTCGGTCCCTCCCCTCAGCGTGGACCTCCCCCCCCAGTAGGAACAGCAAAGAACCTGTGACGCTGTAGGAAGGGGACCCAGAGGGGTTCCTTAGAGCATCTGGGGCAGAGCACTGGGGACCTGCATCAGGCAGCCCAGGGCCCTGGTGAAGCTGATGGCTGGACCGCGTGTCCAGACGTGCCCCCTGTCCACTGCACCCCCACAGCAGGGGCTGGAGCCAGCTGCTGCTGCTCCCAGTTGGAGGCTTGAGCCCTTTGGCTTCTCTGCACTCCCAAGGGGATCCAGGTCTCCTTCAGCCCCTTCTTTATGTACCCAGGCCTCTCCTGTCTTCCATATGCCTGTCCCGGCGTGGGGCACGTGGCTCTGGGCTCAGCCTGCCAGGGCCCAATGTCCGCTGACACCTCCTGGGTCTGAGATGTGGCAAGTGACCACATCCCTTTGAACCTCAGTGTCTCCATCTATAAAATGGGCCCCGTACCAGTAGCTACCCCATAGAGCGTGTGAAGATATTATACACATGAAGCAAGCAGGGCAGTACCCGGTGCACAGTAAATACCTGTTATTACACTTTCTCATCTCTGTCCTTTTGACTTGCCGATGTTCTGTGTGGGCTGACCCTCAGGGGGCCTTGGCCTTGCCCAGTCCCTGATTTCAGCCAAGAACCCTGGACCTTGCCCTAAGAAGCCAGGCCAATGTTTTGTGTGTCTGTGTGTTTAAGAAATATTTTATTTTTAGAGAGGGGACGAGAGAGAGAAAGAGAGGGAGAGAAACATCAGTGTGTGGTTGCCTCTCGTGCGCCCCCTCCTGGGGACCTGGCCCACAATCCAGGCATGTGCCTTGACTGGGAATCGAACTGGCAACCCTTTGCTTTACAGTCCGGCACTCAATCCACTGAGCCACACCAGCCAGGGCCAGGCCCAATGTTATGTGGATTCATGCACGACCCTGCTGCTGTCTTGACCTCAGTCTTGGTATTTGTAAAATGGCCACAGTGCAGGCCCAATGCTCTCTAGGGTCCCAAGAGTCCTGATGTCTACCATAGTTCATCTTCTCTTGTGCAAGCACCTTCAGTGGCTCCCACGGCCTAGCGGGAGGTTTTTCTAGAGCTTTCACACGCAGTGGCTGTCGCCCCCATCTTCTGCCCTGACTGCACGCCTCCTTCACGCAACCGCCAGGAACGCCACATTGTCTCTCCTCCCGGCCTCTCTGCACAGCTGTTGCCCAGCCTGGCCCGCGCTTTTCCCATTCCTCCCTAGCCAACTCCTCTGTCTTTCGGACACTCCCTTGAGTACACGAGAGAGGCTTCTCCCCTGTGCTCTCATGGTCCCGAAGCTCCACCCCTACAATATGTATCACACTATGGGGGCCTAAGCTCTGAATGCCCCAGCGCTGGGACCATCTGGTTTACCTCTCTGGTCTCAACCCAGCCTGGGGCTTGACAGATAATTAGGGGCTCATTGGCTGCTTCCCCAATAAACACAGGACCAAATGCACATAAGGACTCCTCAGCCCTGAGGATCCTCTGCAGCCAAGGCTCTTTCCAGGCCCCCTGAGATGCTGACGGAGAGTGGCCCCCGCCGCACGTACCTGGCAGGTGTATTCGGTGGCCGTGGGGCAGTGCAGGGCCCGGTAGACCCGGCCGCCCTCCTCAGGCCCCTGGAGGACATAAGGCCCAATCCGGGAGGCAGTGGCCACAGCAGGGGCACGGCTCGCAGCAGGAGGTGGTCTCAGCGGCAGTGGGCAGGGGGGCAGCTTGGGCCGGGGTCCACTTTGAGCTTGTTTCCGGGTGGGACACTCAGTGTCTAGGTCATCGTCCAACTTTAACTGCTTCTTCCTGGAGGGAGCACTCATAGGAGCTGCCAGAGGGGAGGCTCGCATCTGGAAAGAGGGAGAGAAAGGCATTACAGGGAGGCTGTCTGGTGGCCACTGTCTTCCTCTGCTGGTGGGAGGGGACACTGGCACAACCTGGACGGAGGGTGATTTGGCACAGTGCATTCAACTGACAACTGCACATACCCCTCCTAGGTGTCCCGCTTCTGCAAGCTACCCTCCAGTCAACATGCTCTTCATCAGAGCCTTGTGTCTAGGAGCAAAAGGCAGAAAATACCCCCAAATGTCCAGCAGTAGAGGGCTGGTTAAAACAGCATAGTATAGGCATACAGTAGAATACTATACAGTCCTGAAAAAGGACCAGGAAGCTCTCTACACACTGATATAATGATGCAAGTACAAGATTATTACTGTAGCCCACTTGTGATCATTTAGAATGGGAGGGCAGATAAAGTGCTTCCCAGACAAGGTCAAGTGAAAGGAGATCATTATCACCAAGCCCTTATTATATGAAATGTTAAAGGCACTGAGATATCTAAGAAAAAGAGGATGATCAAAAATATGAACAGCAAAATGACAACAAACTCACAACTATCAACAACTGAACCTAAAAAAACAAAAACTAAGCAAACAACTAGAACAGGAACAGAATCACAGAAATAGAGATCACATGGAGGGTTATCAGTGGGGGGGGAGGAGAGTGGGGGAAAAGGTACAGGGAATAGGAGCATGATTGGTAGGTACAAAATAGACAGGAGAAGTTAAGAACAATATGGGAAATGGAGAAGCCAAAAAACTTATATGTGTGACCCATGGACATGAACTAAGTGGGGGATACTCATGGGAGGAGATATGCAGGGTGGAGGGGAATAAAAAGGAGAAAAAATGGGACAACTGTAATAGCATAATCAATAAGATATATTTTAAAAAACAATGGAACACCCACCATTAGGGGACTGGTTACATAACTTATATTTCATCCATACATGAGATAATTGCACCCATTTAAAAGATTGAGTTAACTCTATATTGCTAATTGAAAAGACATCCAGAATGAACTATTAAGTGAAATAATAGTGAAGTAGAAAGACAGGCTTGGTGGTTGGTGAGAGGTTGGTTGCTTAGTTTTTGTTTTTTTAGGTTCAGTTATTGATAGTTGTGAGCTTGTTGTTATTTTGCTGTTCGTATTTTTGATCATCTTCTTTTTCTTAGATAAGTCAGTGCCTTTAACATTTCAAGGTGTGGCCCTGTTATAGGACCGGTGCCAGGAAATGACCACTGCTGCTTTATTACTACTGTAACTATTATTATTCATAGCTGAAGGTGGCTTAAGTGCTACCCTTGGGAGTCTCAGAAATCTCCCCAGGGATGAGGCTAGGTTGGCACTGTTTATCTCACCAAGTTTCTCAGTCAAGCAAGATGATCCCAGGCTGCGTAGACGCTTTGTGCCCAGTGAAGCAGAGACACCCTGGAGAGGTTCTTCCGGGGTTGCATCAGCAAGCCCGGCTGTCAGGTTGCCTGGCCCTATCCGTGCCGAGCCTGGTGGGGCCTGGGGTACCCCGGCCCACTGGACAGGGGTTTGGCAGGCACACCGAGGGAGCGCCACTGTAGGATGGAGGCCGCCTCTCATCCCTGGCACCCTGGTGGGGGTGGGGTGGGGGAATAGGGGCGGGTCATTCCCAACACGCACAACAGGGCAGACGGGTACAAACGCCCCGCCAAAACATACTTTCTCCAATCCAGCCAGCCCAGACGCACATCCACAGAAAAGCGGGGCACACACATCATTAAGTCGCACACAGGTCTCCCTCCGTGGGCAGCAGTGCACGTACACACGCAAAGAGCTCACACCTATCACATCAGGACAGCACAACTGATACAAAAAAAGGTTACACAAAGTCTCATGCCCGCTCCTACTGCGCCCCAGGCTCGTCCCACAGCCAGGCTCCTCCCATGAGAGCGGAAGCCGCGGCCCCGGTTGTCCCGGGGCACAAGGTTCTACGGAAACAGAGGGACAGCGGGGGACCAGGAGGGGGTGAGGAAAAGGGAAGGAGGCTGGGCCCCAAGGCTGTGGGAAGGGGCGGACTTGGCCCTCGCCTCTCACTCCCAGCCCGTAAGTACAGCACACCGCGTCTACACGAACCAAACACGCGCGTGCACAGTGCAAGGTGCAAACCCGTAGCCCCACGGCTGGGTGCACACCTGCGGCGGCGCCTGGCACCCACCGGGGTTCTGCACCTCGCGCGCTGCATCCGCGTTCCCACCGCCCTGCACCGGTTTCCTGCCCCCGGGGCAGCCCAGCAGTCCCTCAGCCCTATCCTCCGAGACGTACCCCCACCCAGACCCCACAGGCTCACGTGGACCTCTGCAGACACACCCCACAGTGCCAGACCTTACACACAGTCCCCCAGTGTCCCCCACGGTCCCTCACAGACCTCCCACACGACTCTTGCGCCTCATACTCACCCAAAACACACAACCGCACACCTTTCTCGGGGCGACACTCAGACACCTCAGTGTTCGACCTTCTCCGCCCCCGAGACACAGCTGCCACACCTGGGGGCTCAGCCTCGCCCCAGTGGGAGCCGGCCACACTCGGGCGACCCCAAGCTCGGTGGGGCCGCATTCCCCGGGACCCGGCCGATCCACTAGGCCCAAGGCTGTTTTGCTAAAAGTATGTGTGTCTAACCTGCAGCGGCCCGCCCGCCCCCGGCGCTCCGCCCGGTACCTTGCCCTGGACAGGGGCCCGCTCCGCTGCGACTGAACTCGGTGCCCGTCGGAGCCCTGGACTCTACACCCCACAGCCAGACGCGTGCGGAGCCGCCGCCGCTCCCACGGAAAGTGTCTCGGAGACGCCCGACGCCAGGCTCCGTTCGGCTCCTGCCTGGGTGATGTAAACCTGAGTTAATCACCCGCCGGCTGATGCGCTCGGGCGCAGGATTGCACCATCCCCCCCCCCCCACCCCCCAGCGCTCCGCCCCCTGGACGCCGGGCCACCGCCCTCCCGCCGCGTCCCAGGCACCACCTGCCTCTCCCGCCCGCTAGGGGGGTCTCTTCTCCACCCTCCCCCTCCTGCCCCGCACCGAAGTTTCGGTTGCAGACACCAGCCACAGACTCTCGCTGTCATCTTGCAAAAAGCATTTTGCTTTTCTGAGCCTGAGTTTCCCTATCTGTGAAATGGGAAGAACGTCGTTCATTCTCAAGAAGATGCTGAGGCAATAAAGAGCAAACTGGGACAGTCTCCCGAGTGCTTCCCGTTTATAAAGCACTTTTCCGCCGTTGCTTTATTAAATCCTTAGAGAACCTGGCAGAAAGTTCGAGTATCCTCATTCTACTAAGGTGCAGCCCGAGGCTCCGCTATGGGAAAGCAGCCCAGAAACTTGGAAAAAAAACGCAGACTTACAGGAGCTGACTCTGGGCTCAAAACGGCTAGTGTAGCGCCCTGAGGAAGCCTGAGGTGGGGTGAGCTTCACAGCATTCATTTGAAAGAGGCAGTACAGCCTAGTGGTTAGGAGCAAGCAGCCTAAAACCAGCCTGCCTACCAGTGCACCCCACCTCCGCCCAGACCCACTGTGCTACCTCAGGAAAGCTACTGAAAACCCTGCTTCCGTTTCCTCCTCTGTAAAATGGGCTTATAAATAGCACAGCACTCACTTCATAGGGTTGTTGCATGAATTAAGTTAATCCACGTAAAATGCTTAGAATAGTGCAGCACAGTGTAGGTGCTCAATAAAAAATGTGGACACAATGGAGGCTCAGAGCAGGAAAAGCACCTGTAATAGAGCTGGTTTCCCAGGACTGGCAGGCCGCAGGGGAACTTGCTGTTTGGTGAAGCACCGCTGGGCAGCCCCTGCCCCACCCCACAACACACACACCAAGCACCTATCAGTGAAAATCCTTTTTGGGTCTTGATGTTGGAATATACAGGTGTCAAAACCAAACAAATAAACAAACAAAAAAACCTCCTCTGGCAGAGATTGAATGGGAGGCCCAGGGAGTCACCTTTGTTTCCCTGCTTCCAAAGCCTCAGGGCACAGCAGGGGATTCTGGGACCTCATTTAACCTTGAAGACTCCGCTGTCTGTCAGGGGAAGAATTCTTTTTCTACACATTCGGGTTGGAAGATCCCACAGCCATAAGGGGCAAGGCAGGCGTGGTTGTCTTCTGAGCAAGGCACCCTGCTGGGTTTACTCACACATTCCTAACTTTGTTTCATGCTGCGTCATCTTGTGAATGCAGGAGACCCATCAGTGACAAGACTGACCTATCCTTGTCCTCACAGGTTCTATAAATCAATGGGGAGACAAATCGTTATCAAGAAAATGAAATCAATAAACCCTAGGTCATCTAAAGTAGTCTAAGTGCTATATATTTTCTTGAATAAAATAGGGTAGATTTGTTCTCTATCGAATATGACTGGGGTGGATCTTTTCAATAGGAATCATCTGGAAGGTGATACTTAATGTAGGATCTTAAGGAAGAAGAGGGAAGACAAGTGCAAAGGCGTGAGGGGAGACAGAGGAAAAAGCAAGTGCAAAGGCCCTGAGGCACCGAAGGAACTGTCTGTGAGATGGGCACTGTCACCTGCATTCTACAGATGAGTCACAGTGAGGCATGCACCCAAGACCACCCAGCTTGTTCTAGGAGGTGGATTTGGATGTCAGGGTTTGGGCTGCCGTCCCCACTGCCCACACAGGCAAGGGGCATTTCACATCTTTGCAAACTGGCAACCTCCGTCACCCTGGTGGGCATGTTCTCTGGAACATTCTGGGCTTGGCTCCCAGTCTGAGTCCCCATCACAGCTGAGGGTGTCCAATGCCGATTCTCTGGCCCACCCTATTCCAATGGGATGGCACCTGAGCCACGTCTGCGGTTCCAAATGTTCTAGTCATGCATTAAAGGGGAATAAAAAGAAATTGGCAAAATCAGTTTTAACAATATATTCTATCTCATCCTTTACAGCTAGCACATCATCAGTTGAACAGATAAAGTTATAAGTGAGATCATCTAGTTTTTTCATACTAATACCTTCAAAACCTCGTGTGTATTTTATGCTTAGTTTGGACACAAATCAGCATGGAAGCTGGATTGTCAATGGTTAAAGTGAAAGGTTGTCCTATCCAAATAATTAGGTTAAGTTGCATTGAATGGAAACATTTGAAATGTGCAGTAGCCACATGGGCTGGATTGAGAAGACAAAGAATTTCTGCCGTGGCGCCGAGCGGAAAAGCGGAGGCTGTGGGATCTACACCGTAAATGCCAAGTAGCCTTGAGCCACCGTTTCTGCATTCATAAAGTGCAATTAATTATGCCTTCCTTGCATTAATCCTGAGGATTAAATGCATCGAGGCAGCTGCACGTTATAGTCAAAGCACATTTCCTGGGTTCAGACCTTACCCATTCCACGTAGTGAGATTTTGGGTAAGTGAATTAAGCTCCGTGCTTCAGTTTCTTCATATTTAAACTGAAAATAGTCATAGTACCTACCGACCTAACTGGTTTGTCATGAGGATTTAATGACTTAATATTTGTGAAGTACCTGGACTATAACTGCTGTATAAGCATTTGCTAAAAAGCGAGAAAATAACTCCCCCCAAAATTAAATGTGTAAGTGTGCACCTTCCTGGAGAGACAGCTCTGCCTTTGTAAATGCGCTTCTCTCCAGGCCCAGAACATCCTCTGCGCCCGTGTCTGAGCCGAGGGAGCTGCACTTCTATGTGCTGTCGCGCTGATGGGCCCAGGCGCTGACCCTCTCCTGGGGCAGGGGGTCGGAGGGCTGTGGTGAAGGAGGGGTTGGGGCCCGGGGCCTGCCTCCTTCCCTTCCACTCAGGTGTCACCAGTGACGGCCACATGCCTGAAATTCCACCACTTGTGTCCTTCAACTTTTATCTTTTTAAGTTCTCCCCACTAAGTTGAAATTTAAGCTCTCCCCACTAAAGTGAAAAGATGCTTTGAAAAGCGTTCTGGTTGGATTCTAGGTCCGGCTGAAGTCACTGACCCTGTGAGATCATGGGCAAATTGCCTGTTCATTGGGGGCCTTCGTTTTCTTGTATGTAAGATAGGGACAGAGTTGCATCAGGTCAGTGTTTTCTAAGACATGGTATGTGCAGCAATGGTAGATGCCACGTGGTTTCAGGGCCTCCTGACACAGTTACATAACATGGAATCACTTTCTTCCTCTTCTTCCACTGACTGGGGGAGGAAATCTCATTTACCAGTTTCTGAGTTCTTTCTTTCTTTCTTTCTTTCTTTCTTTCTTTCTTTCTTTCTTTCTTTCTTTCTCTCTCTCTCTCTCTCTCTCTCTCTCTCTCTCTCTCTCTCTCTCTCTCTCTCTCTCTCTCTTTCTTTCTTTGTAGAGAGAGCAGAAGGGAGAGAGAAAGAGAAACATCACTGTCTGGTTGGTTGCCTTCTGAGCACCCCCCACTGGGGACCTGGCCTGCAGCCCAGGCATGTGCCCTGACTGGGGATCAAACCAGCGACCCTTTGGTTCGTAAGGCGGCCACTCAATCTACTGAGCCACAGCAGCCAGGGCAGTTTCTGTGTCTTAGACGCCTCATTTATTAAGGAAGAAAAAGCAGGGCTCAGCTCAGAGCTGTCAGCAAGAAATGGGATTTAATTAGAACTTAAGAATCTTGTTTTGTTTTCTTTGTATTTAATTTTATGGTTGTTTCACCTTTATGGCAAATGATAGTGACTTTCCATTTGAGATCAGTAATTTAAATTTTCCATTTTAGGGGTGGGTGGGGTGGGAAAGAGCAATGGGGGGGATTGGGACAACTGTAATTGAACAACAGTAAAAAATAAAATTAAATTTAAAATTTTCATTTGCGATACATTTTTTACATGAGTTGATTGGAAGAAGAACATTATAGACCGAATGAACACAGGCATTTGGGAAAGATGGTGGGTGATTCAGGAGTTGTGGCTCTAGCCTCCCCTTCTCCTGGGGTGCCCTTAATAGGACAGCAAGCACCTCCTCCTTCTCTGGGGTCTCCCAGGGGCTTTGCAGAAATCCTTTGTCATCTGAATCTGGCTCGGGCTGGGTCCTGGGAAGGACAGGCAGGCGACTGTCGGGGCAGCATCAACACAGGGGTAGCCCAGTGGCCGCCACAGCCCTGCTGGGTGACCTTGCTGTCTGCCCTGTGAGTCTGGGTTTTCCTTGCAGAGAACGTAATTCTTGTGCCCGTGGATTGAGTATGGCCCTGTGTAGGTGCTTCCCTTAACGCATCTCACTGTGTCCTCTGACCCCCCCAGCACGCTGCTGTTTTCATCCCTGGGGGAAGATGAGGAAACTGGGCTCAGAGGGCTGACATCACCGGCCTAAGGAGTGAGGCGGGCAATGGGATTAGAAACCAGCTGGTCTGGCTCAAGGCCTAGGTGGCCTTTGTCGACTGCTTCATGCCACCTCCTTGGCCTGAACTAGTTGTATGACACTGAGCAAGTCACTTAGCTGTAACAGTGGAAGGTTGTAACAATGGGAGATTGTAACCGCCCCTACCGCCACTCTTTGACATTGTTCCTGTAAGTTCTGACACTAGCGAATCTGTGGCTTGCGGATGAACAGCATGTTTGTATAAGAATCCTAGGAACTAGCTTCAAAAGATACAGACTCCAACCTTCAGGCATCCCAGCTCCGGGAGGTTTGCTGACCTTCAACTGTGGAGCCGGGATGACTAAACCAGGATGACGCTCACCGGACCATCACCTGCCT